ACTATCTATATGGTATCCATATCTTGCAAACCCCGGACTCGGAGTGATGGTGTGCTGATCCCTATCCAGATAATGTTTTCTCAGCCAATGAAAACAATGCAAAGGTGTACGACGCTGCTGCAAAGCGTCTCGTGAGGAGAGTAATGGAAGGCTTTCACGGTACAGTATTTGCCTATGGCATGACCGGAACGGGCAAGACCTTTTCTATGCAAGGAACCGCAACCTCCCCAGGAGTGATTCCACTGGCGATTACAGACATATTCTCCTTCATCAGAGAAACGCCGCACCGGGAGTTTTTGTTGCGGGTGAGCTACCTTGAAATCTACAATGAGAGGATAAATGATTTGCTTTCAGCGTCAGTGTCCGGTGCGCCGTCCACTGCCCAACAAGAAGAAATCAAGTTGCGTGAGGATAGCAAGAGAGGTGTATATGCGACTCCATTAAAAGAAGAAATTGTCCAGAGCCCGACACAACTTCTTCGCGTCATCGCAAGGGGAGACCATGCGAGAAGGACTGGCAGCACCCAATTTAATGCTCGGAGTTCACGAAGCCATGCGGTTGTCCAGATCGTTGTTGAGAGTCGGGAACGAGCACCTGCAGGTTTATCCCAGGATAGGCGGTCAGGTCTGCTGCCTGGGGGGGTTAGGGTGTCCACACTCAGCCTTATCGATCTTGCTGGATCAGAGCGTGCTGCTGATGACAAAGAACGACGAACAGAAGGTGCCCACATTAACAAGAGCTTACTGACTTTGGGCACGATTATCTCCAAACTTTCGGAATCAAAGGAAAAAGCCAGTGGTGCAACTGACAAGGAAGGCAAGCATCTGCCTTATCGCGATAGCAAGCTCACGAGACTGCTGCAGCCGGCTTTGTCAGGAAACTCCTTGGTCAGCATTCTCTGCACGATTCAGCTAGGCAGTCCTACCAAAACGCATGCTGGTGAAACCCTCAATACCTTGAAATTTGCAGCTCGAGCCAAGAATAGCATTGTCAGTCATGCTAAGAGAGCAGAGGAGGCAATGGGAAGTGGTGGCACTGACACAGGGAGTCGGGTTCTTCTAGAACGCTATCGTTTGGAAATCCAGGCTCTCCGTAATCAGCTCGAGTGCCAGACAAAAGCTCAGGTTGAGAAAGAACTCAAACTTGAAGAACAGCAGCTAGAAAAGGAAGCGCATGCTCGTCACGAAGAACAAATGTTAGAGATGCAGCTGGCTCGGACAGCGTTAAAGGAGCGTATAGAGCATCTGAATCGCCTTATATTATGTTCTAAGTCAACTGGGGTGAACAACCACGGGGGATTTCCATCCCTTGGTAGGCTTTCCAGACAATCCGCTTTCGATGCTGGGACGAGGTCTCTGCGGTCTTCAGTTAGTCAGTCTACATTGAGCGCCTATGGACAACCGTCAAATCGCCCGATGTCTCTCATTTCGGTCAATAGTTATGATCCCGCAGCCAGTGCACAACTCGCGTGCTCTTTGCCTCATGAAGATGATGAAGAGAATATCGGCGAATTCGCAGATGGGAAGGCAAGTACCCGGCAACAGATTGCGGCCCTTCAAGCTGACCTCAATGACAAAAATCGATACATATCCACGTTGGAGAGGCGGTTGTTGCAAGCACGCCGCTCGAGTCATTCCCGTATATCAATAGGCATGAAGTCTAGCAGTCCAAATGCTGATTTACCTGATGCAATGGCTTTGCTGCGGGAAAAAGACATGGAAATAAATGAACTTCGTCAACAATTGGACGATAAAGATCGAATGCTCACAGCGCTCCGTTCTGCTGCTCGACATCGGGATCTTGCGCACATTGCCATCGATGCCTGTGGGCCTGAAATAAAAGAAACTCTGCCTCACCGCCACAGTCTCGTGGACAGTGACTATGCCTTGGCCTACACTCCACATAACAACTTCTCCCCGCGGTTCGAAGGCGACCCCGACGGGAAGCGGAAAAGTATGGACGAGATGTCTCGAATCCTTGATGAGATGATTCAAGATCGTGTTGAAAGCGGTCAGTTGATCAAAGGCTCGCGTGGTAGTGTTCGTGTCGTTACCAGCAGTCGTCGAGCATCGGAGTCGGTACCCGGAATAGCGAGTTTGACTACGAGCAAGGCCGATTAACTACGCCCTAGCCAGAGCACTCCAGCTTAACATTTCGCACTATCATTTTCGAATACCGGAGAACTCTGCTCGCCAGGGTGAGCACCTAGACGCTTCTCGAACAATTTATCAATGACAGAGAGTGCACTGGCCTTGAAGGCCCTTCGGGGATCAGTGCTGTTCTAAAAGCAGAATTGGTCCAACAGCTCCTCGATCGGATCACCTCGTACAACCGAATTTTTGATTTCATCGAATCTCAATTGGTTTTTGACGCGCAGTGAAAGGCCCCGCCATTTGACAAGACGAGTCGCCGCTTATAGATCGAAGAGATCAACGCGTCGCCTTAAGCTTACAGACCCCGCCCCCAGGAATTAATCCTAATTTATGCTCTTGTTGTTCCAAAAACACTATTCAGTGCCATGCACCAGGCTTTTGGACTTTAGCGGTCGATTTTCCCTTTCCAGGCTACCCCATGTCAATACGATCATAGGAGCTTTGCCTACATGTCGTCAAGGTCGGGTGCTTCTTCTCTCATTCATGACGCACATGCTTTATGCCCAGTCGCTTCATTACTCTTCTGTTCTCCATCACTTCCAGATACCCATTCTTGTCCCCTTTTCGAAGCGATTCTGGCTTTTGGTACATGCTATATTCCATTTATATCATCATCATCACCACCACCATCATCAATTCATTCGAACATAAAGATGTCCAGAGAAGATATAAAACTTCATGATTTAACTAAGGCATCTAGAAGCTATCGACCATTAAGTGAGCCAGTTGGCTAAATGTAGAGGCTATACAAGCGATAGCCCAAATCTGCAGGTGTTTACTTGGGATTTGAACCCAAGTAGTCTTGTCACTGAGATTCTGGGTTGGTGTGTCCATCATGAAAAAAACCAGTACATTGGGCTTGGCTGAAATATCCTGAATATTTCATTATATATTCACTCTGCTATTACCACACTGCCAGAACTATCATCTTAAGACCTTATGCAACAATCTCAATGTCGGATGCTCTATCTTTAGCATAGAAATCTTTCCACTGCTCCCACAGCCTTTCTAATTCCTGCACATACATCGTGTGAAGTAGATTGACGTATTTATCGTCTACCTTCTCCCTGTCCTTTTGCTGTGTTACCCTGATAGGGCGACCAACCACAATATTTAATGGCCGTCGATACGGCATCAACCCAACATCATAGTTGAAGATACCACGTGCATGAAATAGGGGAATTGTGAAGCCCATCGCACGTTTAACAAGCATCTGAAACTTATGTATGATAGGGTGGTCTTCAGAGCGCACTTGCTCATAAAGGTCATTCTCACCAAATGCTAGTATTGGCACAAGATCAGCTCCTGTACGTATGGCCAACTTGATGAATCCTTTTCTGCGCTTGAGCACAAGGCGCAAAGTGTGGGGAAGAGCATCCAGTGATTCACGGGCACCACCAATGACAATTGTGATGGCACGACCCATTCCTTCACCATCAGTTCCTCCTTTAGTAAGGATATTTTCACATGATTCGCGGGAGACGCTGGCTATGCCCATAGCAAGTGCGTACTCCCTGTAGAACGGAATTCGGAAGTTCGAGTCAAGTGTCAGTAAGGTGTTTGTGATTCCAGGAAAGAGCTTGGAGAACCCAAGAGCCTCGGTAGCAAACGCTGCGAAGGCGCCGTGTGATATGATTCCATGTGGATGATATCCGAAGATATATTTCCTCGTTGGTGGAAGAGGTTCGGATCTATGTAAGCGGGCTGGAAAGTAAGACGCATACAATCTCCAGACACGGAGGGAGCGCAGAAAATTGCAGCGACCGCCCAGGCTCCCTGATGTTGCAGCTGTCGAAAAGAGAGAGATGTAGATCAGATAGGGTATCAGGACTGGCCATGAGAGCGGGATGGCACATGAGAAAAAAAACATCGTCAAAAAGATAGCAATTGTTAAGGTATGGCAGAGAACCACAAACGTCTGTAAGCGTCTTTCAAGGCCGATATTCAATGGTGCCCAACGGATTCTGGTTCTCCAGTCAGTAGGATTTCTTTTAATACAAATGACGAGAACAAATACCCCCAAGAAGTTTTACTGAAAACATTTACATACCTCCTTTCATGTCCAGCCCTTTTGATGCTTCGGGCATGGTCAGAACCACTATCATCACTGGAAAAGTCATCACGAGTGATAGTTATCGGCGACCGCTGCAGAGATGATGGCCGTTGCTGTGCTAGGCTGTCATTCCCAGTCCCAACAGGGGCACAACTCCCAGAATTAGACATCGGTGGCTAAACAGCACGAATTGAGCTTGGTGCTTGTAATTTTGCGAGAGGAATAAGCTGACATATAAGCTCGGTTCGGGGATCGAACTTTGACAATACAAATCTGGAATGAATGTGTTATGAAGCATGGACAGACAGTAAGATCATAACGGCCGGTGACGGTTGGGTCAACCCACACTGGTAATGATGTAAGTGTCCACCCACTCTGTGGACTGGGCCGAGGTATGCGCGGAGTACGGTACGTACTGTACCACATTTACGCAACACTGTCGTTTTCAGCACCTTTGATTGCGTGATCTTAGGCACATGTGAATATCACTACAATCAATGGAAAAAACACACAGGAAGCGCTGAAAGAAAATTCTAGCCAATCCGAAGCTACATCAACGGAAATACATATACTGCCAATCAAAAATCTCCTCTAAAGCTACACTCAGTAGCATCATGATGATAGGAACAGACAACCATTATGAAAATGTGTTGTAGCGGAACTCGATCGAAGACCAGATCTTGCAGCATCACGCCGAGCGCATGATCATGTTGTTAACAGGCGCGTAGAGATATAATCAGATTGGGTATTTGAGTAGTAGGAGAAATTCTAGACGAGCCTCTACACTACATGAGTCAAGAGGAGACAGGGTCATTCAGATTATGACTTGACCATAAATATCTGAGATTAAACCAGTAAGCATAAGTGACCATGTGATGAGGCAACAATCTTACCTCATTCAGAGATTTCTCATCGAGAAGAGCTCTCTTCTTCTGTGCAATGTGACGGCTTCTGAAAACATGCCTGCCCATCGGACGGCGCTCCCTTGATGGCAGAGACTTTAGTGTCGATGCAGGCATTTCTGTAGGTGAGTCACGATTGGACTCGTCTTTTCGATCCAACGTCTCTGTCTTTGTGTGTTCGAAACCGCTATCTTCTTGTCTTTCTTTGTTCTTCCGTTTCTTGGACTTTTTCTTACAGGAGGCCTGGTTGTCTGAGAGTTGTCTTCCACAACTGCCATTATCCTGACCTTGAGTACTGATAGGAGATGCCTTGAGGTCCACAAAATTGGGACTTTCAGGTCCTTTCCGGCCATCAGTAGCACTCTTGTTAGTCCTGCGCTTCTCAGTGTCTGGCTGGATTTGAGCTGGCTCTTCAAATTCACGGGCATCGGCCTTTTCCTGAACCAGATATCCACCACTAATGAAGTTAACTGACTGCCATCTGCTGGCCGCATATCGAGCCAACTTTGCATTCTCACGCCTCTTCTCCTCGATCCCCAGTTCTGCATCTGACTTGCCATTTAAGCGTCCCAGCAAGCCTCTAAACGCATCAAGACCAGTGGATTCATCTAGTACGTCCCGCCTCGGTCGCGCACCAAGGCCAAGTGTATCATCTTTGATAGTAACGCGGATATGAGACGCGCTTGCTGTGGTGAATAACTCAGCATGTGCAGCATTTCGTGCACCCAGAAAGCTACCCGGGGTCCATCCCTGAGAACTGAGAATCTTGTGCCCGAAGCCAGTTGTTGAGCGCGACCAATTTGTATTGTTAGGATCGTGTGAGATCTTGGATTTCCTAGGCAATGGACATTAGACCAAGTAAGACGAAGAAAGTAGACCCTACCTACTTTCGGGGTGCAGCAAGACCCATTTGCTAGATCAAGATGGTTGCTCGGCCCGGGGAAGGGGGGGGGGGGGGGGATCCTTTTTCTTTGCTTGAAGTATTTGTTCACTGTTGATTGTTGAGAGAAGTACTAACTAAACCACAAGAAAAAGAAAGAAAGAAGAGAGGGAATTAACTTTTTGGAGGGAAAATGTGCTCGGGTGTTTGCAGGGATAAATGGAGAGATTGAAAAGTAATACTCCGCACACGATAGGAAAAAAATCTAAATCTCAGGGAGATTAGATGTAAGACTTGGAAAGAGTGTTGACCGCCTGCAGAATTAGGCAGCTTCCCCCCCCCACCATATCCCATGGTACAAATACTGCTGGTCACTAGGCTCAGAGGCTCCAGCTGGCGCCTGCCTGATAAGGGCAAAGCGCGACACGATAATTGGAAGTGTTCCTCAGATTCCCGATCGGGGAGGCGGTAGCGAAAGCACAAGGGTGCGATAAGCTGTGCTCAGGGGGTTGTTGGATTCAACTCTTTTCCGTGCTTAGAGGCCTCCCGGAATATACTTAGCACAACGTGGCCTCTTCTGTATACTAGATTGTGATTCATCTGCTTGCCTCCTTCAATTTGCTCTGAATGCCCTCTTTTCTCTTATTATAAACATAACAAGCCCTCTGTCCATCTGAAACATTCTTTAGTGACCCAGACATTAAGGCCAAAGTTAGCCCAAATCAACCGTATTCAGTGGCACCATGGTATGCTATAGATCTATGCAGTGTGGTGTCAAATTGGCATACATATGGTCTTGGATACTGATCTCAAATTGCAGGCTCAAACACCACAGCAGAGAAAGGCCAATGAGAGGTATGCAAAGCATGAAGCCGCAAAGCGTGGCAAAGGAGGGGTGATGGCGAAGCCAAAGCAGAACTCACGGTCTCCAGTATCTACCGGCTGGATTGGTATGTTCCCATTAGCCGCCATGCCAATGATCAACTGGTAGGGCTAAAAAAAGTTGACAGTCATCCTTGCGTTCGTTGTTTGTGGTGGAATATTTCTTGAATTACTAGGGATTGTGCCTCGGTTATGGTCCGCTCTTGTCACGAACTTTAGTCAGTTGCTGCAGTAGGTATAGACACAGCTTGCTACGTTGCAATATCGCATGTTATTATTATCCACGACAAATCGATGGCCACTGTCGAAGCGATTATCTTAGGCGCCTCCGACCCTCAACTTCTTGCTTAATGCTTCGAATGCATTTATGTTACCATTATCCTGCTGCACTGTCTAGCAAGTCAGATTCAATCATGTATGACCCAGGCCATACACCATACAGCCAAGTGAGGTAGTACCTACTAAGACATCTAGCTGCTGGGGTCCGAATCAGTTCTTGGGCCGCTTCTTCTTCTTCTTATGCTGTTGTCGGTCATTGCTGCCCTTCATTAAACCTGTTTCATCATCAGGCCATCCAGTTCCCTGCATATCATTGACCACAGATTTCGTCTTCTTCTTCTTTTTCTTGACCAATGTTCCCTCCGAAGGAATACCCATTGGCTGCACTCGCTCTGTGGCTCTTTGTAATCTGAGACGAAATTGTTCCACTTCTCGCATTGCCAAAACCATTTCCGCCTCATCTTCGACCCTCCGCACGATTGATTGATTATCTGAGAATGGCCTGTTCTCGCTGAGTTGGGGGTGTTCCAGTCCACTGGAATCGATCTGAAGTAAAGACCGTTTCCATTTGCTAGCTTCACCCGTCCTATTGGCTGCCCCGGCCTCGTCGTCACCTAGCATCTCATCGGGCAGTACATTATATCGCTTGGGACGTGATCCTATCTTTTTCCGGTCGTCAGACTGAGCCATAGACGGCGGCCGATGTCCCCTTCCGGCGTGCAACTGGAGATCGATTATTGGAATCGCATCAACATCCAATTCGCTTTCATTAGAGGCGGTGAAAGAAGGATGGTGTGGGCTCAAGATGTCGTAATATCCATCATCCGTCCCAATATAAAAAGGATCATCCCTACTTCGTTCCTTGCCATCCAGCCTTCTAGCGTAGGTGGACGATTCTTCCACCATGATACTCACTGGTTTCTGGTACTGTGTCCCATGAGCTGCGTCAACCGCGACGGAGTCACCAAGTTGCTTGTCAGATGACATGCCGTCCCTACAATAGTAGAACTTGTGGCTGGGCACTTCATGATCTGCTCCGCATGAAGTTCCAAGATCGCTATCGAAGAGATCGCAAAGGCTATCATTGAATGTTTGGTGTAAATGAAGCAGCTCTGGTGTCGTGACTTTCTTCTGAGCGTTCACAGAGACGGGATTCAATTCGAGTCCTTTGAATAGGTTTGGAATGACCGTAGACAAGAGATACGGTACTTCATTCCAGTTGTGCGAGTCGGAATGTACAGCATCTGCTGCCAAGCGCATGACTTCGAGGAATTCGATAGCTCGTTCTTGTACTTCCAGGTCAGGATGCAAACTGAGAGAGTTGAGGAACTCAATGACCCGCGCTAACATTAGAGACATTTCGCTCCTCTTTGTTCGATCCCATGTTCCCTCATCAGGCAGAAATGTATTGAGCAACTTGGGAATGGCTTGCACATAGAGGGATAACATCCTCCCTGGCAAGGAGAAATTGGACATGTCAATCAAGGAAAAAAGGGTTTGACCAGGAGAAAGCAAGTGCTCGGCATATTCGCCAACCATCCACGCGAGCGGCCCGAGGATGCCGTTGCTTGCGCCTGGGGCCTTGAGGGAAAGGGATTTACGATTTGCAAGAGAAAGCAAAGAGGCTGCAGCCCTAGTTGCTTCCGCGCGGGCGTCCTTGACCCGAACGGCCACATTGCGTAGCTCAGAACCAATTCGACCAGTGATATGTGACTGGTGATCCGCATCGTTACCCGTACGAATATCATGAGGAAGCCCAACATCTTCAACGTCTGGGGGAAGAAGTTGCACTAACCGCACCAAGGCGCCGACATACCAGTCAAAATCAGACAAATTCGCATAATTTCCGTAGGAGCATATGTCGACTATCCGATGTAGCACCTCAAGTTGGTAATCAAGCGGTAAAGGTATTGTTGTTTTGCGGTTAGCTGAATCACGTCTCATCTCGCGGCCGTCTCCTTCAGAAAGTTCATCATCAATCCCGAGGCGGTCATTCCCGGTAAACTCACGTGAGTTGACCAGCTGCAAGATCAACCGCTCTACTATCGCCTGAAGGTTGTCGCTAGTGACCATCCTGGTTGCAAGATCAAGAGCTTGAAGTCGAATCGAGATGTCCGCATCGTCCAAGCAATACATAATCACATCCTGGTGCATTGAAACCAGCGCGGGATATGCCGATACAATTCTGTTGAAGGCTAGGAGTGCCACATATTTGACTAAACATCCGCCATGTCAGCTTCTATCTCACATCTTATGGCACAGAGGCACCTACGATTCGGATCCGAATCCGAGACGACCATGCCCCGAAGTTTTTCCACACATAAATCGGCGATTTCGTCTTTCTCTTGAGCACCTTGATCGCTATCGAGTATGCCGCCTTGTATCAGGCCATTGATACATTCGTAGAGTAAAGACATGGCGGTTGTTGTTTGGATTATGTTCACCAAAGGCCGAAGCAGCTTCCGGACTAATCGTGGCTCCAGAGGAGTAAGTGTGGCAAACTAGGACTGTCAGAATACTAATGAGTAATGATACCGAAGGGTCTTTCATCTTGATGACCCAGACAACGTACAAGCTTTATTATCTTGATAGCCATCCAATTATTGCCACCGTCGACAAGCAATTCGAATAACCTTGGCGCAAGAGGTAGAAAGTCACGAGGTCGTCGCCATCCAAGTTCACATACCACGTTTAGAACAGCTGTAGTGACGCTAGAGTCCTCTGCATCGTCCATGAGGCGTTCCTTGATTTTGGGCCAAGCTAGTTTCAAAGCATCAGGGTATACAAGAGCCAGCCTATAGAGGCACACAATAGCTTTTTTCCGGACCACAGCATGAGTGTGAGATATCCGAGACAGAACATCTGGTAGCAATGACATGGCAAGGGAGGTAGTGATGATGCTGGGCAATGTGATTAGCGGAAGGGACATATTCGGAATGCTTGATGATACTAAATCCTAAGCAAGAGTTAGATGTATATAAGGACTATGGTACTCAACAGCGCACATACTTTCTTTAAGAGATTCGTTGCCAGCATTAGTACTTCTGTGTCCGGTCTGAAACTCTGCACGGCACCGAGATATCCAGCTCTTTTTTGTAAATATTTTGCAGATGACATTACTTCGAGCACATGAAAAGATGCCCAGGACATGTCATAGCCGAACATCTCCAAGTATATCAGTTTCAAGAGAGCCGTTGCCTTCTTATCTAGGATATGTTAAAAGCATGGTCGCGCAAATATATATGCTGTGCGTACCCATATCCTGCAATTTGATCTCGGCCTTGCATTCTCGAAGAGACTCCTGTATATATCCATCCTCGTCTCCTTTGTGGCTCCTGAGGCCCTTTATCAGATCGTATAGCGACTTTTCGAACCTTGATGCGCTGAGTGTTAGTTGTTTATGTTCTCAACCTGGGGCAGGGTACCGACATTATGCTTCGACGGTGTACAGCATTTGGTGGAAATAAGCGCAACCAAGTTGATACTCTTCTGCGGTATCATGAGCTGTGATTTCAAGCGAAATTCTCTGGTTGAGAACAGCCTAGTATATGTTGCACGTTGACGCATAATCCTTACCGTTCATGAGCGATTACGTCGAGCTGCTCCGTCAAAGTCACGGGAACAGAACTCTACTATCCCCGGTGCGGAGTAGCTCCGCATAATAACGTCTATCCTTGCTCTTCCTTTTTACCTTCTATTTACATTATTCTCGAATTTCTGATTGTCTCCTGCTCACACCAATACAATTTTGATATCATCTAGTCTTCTTCATTGATTTCACACAGCGACAGACCCATCATGGCGCATGATACCCCTGAATTGCAGTATGAACATAGTTCGAATCTGATCACTATCTCTCGCCTTTCACAACAAGCCCCTCGAATACTTGAACAGCACTCTCTAAGTGGTGATGGTTTTCTAGTTGCACCATTTCTGAAACCCCAGTATCATGAGTCATATGACTTGTTGGAGCAACTTGCCTTTGCATGCTTACAATCAGGGGATGATAGATCTGCTCTCCTGTGCATTGATAGACTAGCGAGCCGATTCGGTTCTTCAAATGAAAAGGTGACAGCATTACGAGGCTTGCACGAAGAAGCTACTGCAGAAGATCGCGCAGCTTTGGAGGAGTGTCTGCACAAATACAACGCTATACTGTCGAGTGACCCAGTTAACCTAGTCTGTGCCTTCCTATATGTTCATGGCACAATCCGAAGCTGATATACCTAGTAGCCGATTTTAAAACGCCGAGTTGCCCTTCTGCGGTCGCTGTCTAGAGAAGTGGAGGCCATTACGGGCTTGATAAGACTTCTGGATGCTGTTCCAACAGATTCGGAGGCGTGGTGTGAACTCGCAGATTTGTATCAATCTCAAGGGTTGAGTTCACAGGCAGTTTTCAGCCTCGAGGAGGCACTGTTGATTGTCCCGAACGCTTGGAATGTATGATTTTTACTGTCGATAGTGTACACTCACAGAAAGCTGACTCTCGTGTCGCAGGTACATTGCCGGCTAGGAGAGGTCTTGTATTCCTGCGCCAGTTCGACTGACGTAGGAAAAGCTTGTCATCTTTTACGCCGATGCATTCGGTATTTCTGTCGAAGTATCGAACTCTGTGCCGAATACTTGAGAGGCCTTTATGGTCTGTTTGTCGTAAGTACCCCTCAATCTCTTTCTTCCCAGAATTTATCTTGGTTTTGACACATACCTTGACAGGCAACATCACTCCTGCTTGAGAAAAAGACGGACTACGAAGAAGAATCATCAGCCTCCGCGAATTCCATGTCAACCGATACGCTGAAAAGCCTCAACACATTTGCAAGGATGCGTCTCGAGGAAATCGTGGCTCGACGTTCGTCAGATCATCACTTATGGGGGTACGGTCAAGCTGAGCTTATAGCCGTGAAGGAGCTTCTCGATCGCTACAATCGCGCTAGCGATTGAATGCAACCTAGCATATGGACTTAAATATGCTTTAGTGAACACCAGGGCCAAACTGATCTCTAAAGGAACTAGTGTCTCGCTCACTAGATTAATAGCGAACGTAGATGAGTCACTTGAGTCCAGGCGCCTGTAAGACATGACGTCTCTGACTGGCCAATGAGAACAACGTCTCCCCAGGCCCTCCCTACCTGCATAAGGTAGGTAGGTAGGTAAGTAGATACTTGTCGCTGCGGCGCCCCACCACCTGCGGTAGAGGATCGCCTCTATCTTACAAATAATTCTATCTTACAAATGAATTTGATAACTTTATAAGTTTAAGAATATTTAATACCCTAAAGATAATAATATAAACTATTAAATATATTAAATTCAATATCTATATAGAATAATTAATTATCTAAAAGATTTTTAAATAGAAAATTAAAATAAAAAATAATCAGGTTATATGTTTTTTTCTCTATAATCCCAGCGGGTGTGGCTATCACTAATCCATTCACCGGTGGCGACTATCGCGTCTGTCTGGAGTATTACCTGTAGTATTAGTATCTACGGTTTATTATATCATTATCTATAACTATTTTGGTTTTTTTATATTTTCTTCTAATATAACTATCTTCTACTTTATAAATTGTTTATAATAATTAGTAGCATATTCTTTATTATATATATTTTTTGTGATCTTTAATTCTTTAGTATATCCGAGAATTCTTATTTCTTATTTTAATATTATATTTATATATCTTCTACTTTGTGTATATAAATAGTTTTAACGTGCTGATTCCTGGGCGTCTAGTAAGCTGTTGGTCTTTTTTTATTAAAAATATATTTATTTTTATCTTTGTTAGTATTATATGTTTGTTTTTCAGAAATATTATTAACAGTTGGTTTATTAATATATAAAAAAATCAGTTCTAGTATTTTTTATCTAGTTTTACTGTGACTGCTGTCTTTAGTATTCGGCATATCGAGACCTCCGTGTCTTTCTATATTACCGTCTGCGGTATTAGTATCTATAGTTTACTATAGATAATATATTTAGTTTTCTAGTCTTCTAGACTCTTTATTAAATAAATAAGTTTTATATATTTATTTTTTATTATAAACAGTTTCTTTATAGTTCGTAGTATATTTTATAGTATATATATTTAACTGCTTTATTCTATAATATATCTAGAAAATTATTTTTTTTAATATTATATTTTATATATTATTATTTTGTGATATATAAAGTAGATTAAGATATATTATTCTTAGGTTTTATTTAAGAAACTGATTATTTATTTTTTTTATATTAGAAGCTTGTCTGCTTAAATATTTAACAGTTTATACTAGTATCTTTTATAATATTATTAAATCTATAAGATTCTTAATTAAAAAATATATAATTCTAATTATTCAATATTTTTGTATAATTTATATTCTACTATTATTAATAAAAAAATTGATTATACTAATATTTTATATAATATATATATTAATTCAGACTGCTCCACTATTATTAATAATAAAAATTTTATTAAATTAATTATGATTAATATCTAATTATTATATAAAATATTAAATATTAAAAATCTCGGCTTTAACTACTGAATAGAAAAATATATAATATTTTAAATAATTTTTTCTATTTAAGTTTTTAATTAGAATAATTTCTATTTATTTATATTACTATCCGAATCTAAAGAATATTTAATATATAATCTAATCTATTTATTAAAAATAATATTATAAATTATAAAAATATTATTTTTAATATAATATATAATATAAATATAATATACTTATATTAAAATTGTATATTTATTATTTAATATAAGACTATAAACTATATTAAAATTTATATAATATTTTAAGAATATATTACTATATTACTATACTTAAAAATCTATATTTTTATTAAGATTAAAATATCTAAAACTTTTTTTAAATAAGACTGTATTTTATATCTTATAACTATTATATTTACCGGTAAGACTATATTATATATATTTAATAAATTATAAATTCTTTTTTATTAAAATATTTAATAAAATATTCAAATTAGTTATTCTAGCTTATTATATTTACTTAAATATTCTATCTAATAATAAATTTATTATTATATATAATATTAGCTATAATTATACTAAATATATATATATCTATTAAAGTATTGAAACATTAAGCTGTAATATAATTATTAATTTAGTTAATTATAAATATTAATATTATATTTTTCAAAATCTTTTAATAAATATATATATTATACCTGTTAAAACCAATAAAAATAAAAATATTAAAATATTAAAAAATATTTATATTAAGTTAAGATTGTTTATAAAATACCAGATAATTTATATTCTATTTTTAAATATATTTATTAGTCTAATATCTTTACTACTTTTAATACTAATCATATTATTATTTTATTAAATAAAATAATTATATATAACTACAGTAAGAAAAAATAGTTAAATATTTAACTAAAATTATTAATAATTATAATACTTAGATTCTGTTTAATAAAAGTAATATTAGATTAGTTAATATATCCGAAGAATAATAAATATAAATATTTTTATATAATAATTAAAAAAATTAAATTTTTAAAATCTATATCTACTATATAATAAGTATACCCGGTGGCTACCAACGCTGCTAAAAAAACCACGCCAGCTATACCAAACAGCACACTACTATTGAATTATTAATTAGAAAAAGAAGAAAATTATATCTAATCTTTTTTTAATTAATTTAATATCTTTTAATAGTATTTTCAGTTCTTGTAGTTTTATAGCAGCTTAATATTATTTAAAATATTTTCTAAAAAACTAATATAATCTTAGATTAGAACTAATTATTGCTATAAAAATTTATAAATATATATAATAGCTGTTAATAATACTTTTAAATAATTTAAAAAAAAAATAAAAAAAATAAATAATAATCTATTTAAATTAATTTTTTTTATTAATTAAAAATCTTATTAATTTTATTAATCGGATTATTAAAATATTTTCGGTTAAAATTCTCCGCGAGGACTTTAAAAAATTAAAAATATTTTTTAAATATAAATAAACTAGTAACTATAAATTATTAAAATTATTAATAGTTTTAGTAAATTTATAACTATTTTACTACTAGTAATAGTTTCTAGAATATATTTATATATTAATATTATTTATATATTAATATTATTTATATATTAATATTATTTACTATATAATTATAACTATTATTTTTGGATTATATATAAATAATTAGCTTACTAAGATCTAAATTAATATAATTAATATTATAAATAAGTTGGTAGATTTAAATAGTTTATTAATATAATTAATTTTTACTAAAAATCTTATTATTTATATATAAAAGACTGCAGATACTACAGTTAATTTATTATATTATAATAATAAGATTTTAATAGACTATATTAATAAGAATATTATTAATATAAAGAATAAGATAATTATTTATTATAAGATTCTTATAGATTTTATATTATTTAGTAGCAATATAATTTTTATAATTAATAATCTAAAAAATCTAAAATATTTTATTTATATATAATTATTATAAGTTAAGATACTTAATCTAAATATAATAATTAAAAGATATAAATATTTAATTATAATATATAATATAAATATTAGTTATATTAGCTATAAAAATCCTATAAAATAATAAAAAATTCTAATTAAAAGAATTGAAATTATTAATATTAACTGTCTGATTATAATATTTACTAAAATTATATATATTAATTAGATATAATTTTAAAGAACTATTATTAGAAAAAACAAGTTTTTTATATTAATAATTAAACTTAATAGTTTAAATATAATAAATATCTTTTTCCGCGAAGATTTTATGCTTGATAATAAATACTTTAATATTAATTATTATAATTATAATTAATAGTTTTTATAATACTTTAAATACCAAAAATATAATTATATTAAATAGTACTATTAAAAAAACCGGGTCTATATATACTATATAGATTTATATAAATTTATAAATTATATATTTAAAAATAATAAAATATATACTAGATATATAAACTACAGACTAAAATATTTTATTTTTAACTATATTTATATAAAAAAAAAATTTTTAAAACTATTTAATAATACCAGCTAAACATGCCTGTACTATATACCGAATTTTTTATTAGTAATAGTAATACTACTACTTTAACTATATCAGCTAATATTATATAAGTTAATACTATTTTTAAACTAAGTTTTAAACTGGTTTAATTATAATATATTTATAGTTATTTAATTATAAAAACTAAAACTAAATATAAAAAAATTAATAGCTGAATATTAAATATATATTAATATAAACTATCTTAGATTTTAGTCCGGTATCTATTTTTATAATAAAATATTAAAACTAATTAAATACCAATTAGTAAGCCTATAAAAATAAACTAATTAAATAACTAGAATTATAACTAATTATAAGCTTACTAGCTAGATTAATTATAATTAATATAATAATAAAGAATTTTATTAAGATTCTAATTACTACTACCGAAGCTGTTATATTAATAAAAATAATTATAAACTATATATAGTCTAACTATACTAAAAAAATAAAAAAACTAAAATATTATATATAATAAGTAAAGTAGTAGACTAAGTCTAATTATTATATAAACTATAAAATCTATAACTAAGTTTATAATATATTATATTAATAAACTACTAAATAAAAGTATTAGCTTTACTATAAGAAAATAAAAAATAGAAAATATATTATTAAAAGATTCTAAAAACTTATTTATTAAATCTATATATAAAGAGATTTATAGTTAATATTTATATTTATATTATAAATACGAATTAGTAAGCTAATTAAAAAACTAAAAATTAAAGCTAAATTATTTTAATAGATTTGAATAGATTTTATTTTCTTATAGTAAAGCTAATACTTTTATTTAGTAGTTTATTAATATAATATATTTTAAACTATATAATATATTTTAGATAATTTTTAAAAAAAATCTGCTAAACTATTTAATAAGTTATATTTAAAAAGACTTTTAGTTCTAACAGATTATTTAATTTGGTTTTTTGGTAAGCTTTTTTTATTAAAAAATATTTAAATAAGATTTTTAATGTATATTTTAATATAAATT